CTAGTTTAGTTTATCGTTTTCATAGTATGTTGTTAGTATGAGAAAAGCCATAGATATCTAGGTTTCATGTGCCTCTAAAATAGTTTGATGATTCCACTGCGTATTTTATTTGTTTTGTGACCTAGAAAACAAATCAAAAATATCATATATTCCCCTTTTAAACATCAAAATATCAATCATAATATCTAAAATATCATCCATCTACAACATGACAATATTCAATAACAACAAAAACTAAACAATCAATGCATACATTTCATGGAAAGGAATGAAAATGAAACGTTTTGTTTGTTAAGAGAGCGATATTCCAATAATATAAAAGTAAACGTTCCATTATTTTAGACATAGGGATAACATGGTTAAAATTTTTTAATTATTATAATAGTTCTAAGATATAAAAAATTATTATAAACTGTTAAAGCATTGTAAAAAATATTTGGGAAAATATGCTATTTTACAGATCTATAAAGGGAAAAATGATATTAAGAAATTAAGTTAAGCATATAGTATATTTTGATGTTTACGAAGGCATATATGAAATTTTCCCTAATAAATATGTAATAGTAATACTTTTTATTACTTATTGGTCAAACGCGAAACACATAAATAAAAGAGTTCATTTATATATTGTATATAAAAGACTTTAACACCCATTAAAGTCCTATTATTGTATCATAACGTACGAATAAGTCTCAAAATATGATTTGTTTATGTAAAAACATAAATTACTGATAAAATTGACGATTTGGCAATTTTTCTTGGTTTGCTAGGTTCATTGTTGAACTAAACGTATTAAAGTCTCATTATTTTACCCTAAATTAAGAATAAATTTTTTTTTTATGAAAAAAGCATGAATTACTGGTAAATGTATGATTTGAGAATTTTCTCAATCTAATACACATTTACCGGTTTCATTGTTGATCTGGATGCTTATTCCTTAAATTAGCAAATGGAATGGATATGATGGTTAATTAATGATACATTTACTGCAAAACTTGATATTCATCTAACCAATTATTTTAACGATTAGACATCTAGGTTATCAATAAATTGGTAAAATATATTTTATAGGGAGAAAGGGGAAAAATCATGACTTTTACCGAAAATTAATGTTTTTTTTGTAAATAAATTTTAGTTTGACACTTATTCGTAAATTAGGGTAAAAATAATTGAACTTTAATGCGTTTAAGACAACAACGAAAAAGGAAAACTGTGAGAAAAGTTAATTCATTACTTTTACTCATAATTAAACGTTTTTCTTAAGCAAATTTTAGTTTCGAACTTATGTATAAATTGGGGTAAAAGATTGAGATTTTAATGTAGATTTTCCTAATTAAAATTCCAAATTAGTTAACTATGCAAATATTTAATGATAAATAAATTTATTGAAAAACTTTTATATTTTAAGCTCATTAACGATGTATCTTTATCTTTTTTTAGTCAATTAAGTCTAAAAAATCAAAAATCGTATTAGTTTTTTCTTTTTTATTCTGGTAAATCGGTCATCAACATAATATAATGATTCTTTTGGCAAGTAAATCCAAAATATAAGGTTTTTTTTAAATATATTATTTTTATATTTTTAATAGGATTTTATTATCACTGTGTGTCTATATATATATATATATATATATATATATATATATATATATATATATATATATATATATATATATTAGGTGTATACACACGTAAAGCGGCGGCAATAATTATTATTGTTTTGATTAAGGTTTTTTAATTCAGAAAATGTTTGTTGACTGTTTTAATGACTATAAATTTTCTGGCTGATATGCCAGAAAAATTTAATGTCCAATTTTTGGGCAAACATCATGCCCATGTTAAAAAATAAAAAAAATTCAAATAAGATTTTCTTCTTTAAATATTTTTGTTGTTTATTTTTACCATAATTAGTTTTTCTTCATAAAAAATGAATTGGTTTGTGCATAACATATTTATACATTAAATTATCAAACATTTACCTCTTGAATTTTAACAAAAGTTAAATATACTTTATAATATAGTTAAAATATATGTATACCATATTATGTTATCATAGATTAATCATATAGTATTTTCATTGTATTCTAAAACTATTTTTTGCCTTCTAATTAAAATAATCATTTTGATAACAATTATGTTTAACATATTTTATTATTTTACACTAATATTAAGACGTTTTCTTTGTTTGATATATATAATATCTATTGTGAAAAAGTTTTTCTTCTAAAAGTAAACATTTTTATAATACTTTTGTTTAACAGATTTTTATCTTACATTAATCTTATAATATTTTTTGTTTGACATAAAATATCTAATATATAGTTAGTTATTTTCTTCTAAAAATAACTACTTTTATAAGAATAATATAACACAACAATCTATTAGACAAAAATATAATAAAGTTATTATTTTTAGATGGAAAAAAACTATTTTCATAATAGATATTTTGTATTAGACAAATAAAACACCATAAAATTAATGTAAGATACTAATCTGTTAGACAAAAATATATTATAAAAATAACTACCTTTAGAAGAAAAACTATTTTATAATAGCTATTATCTGTCAGAAAAAAACAACATAATATTAATGTAAAATAATGAAATCTGTTAAAACAAAACAATATATAAATAATTATTTCTAGAAGGAAAAAAATTATTTTCATAGTAGATATTATTTGTTAGACAAAAAAACGATAATATTTACTATAAGATAATACTCCCTCCGTCCCAAAATTATTGTCTACGTTTAACTTTTGAAGTCTTTTAATGTCAACTTTGATCATAAATAACTTTATTTGTGTTATATTATTTTTGATGAAATTTATAACAATGAAAATAAATTTAAAAACAATATATTCATATATCTTGCATAAAAAACTATATAACAAAAAATAAATTATTTAAGATCAAAGTTGAAGAAAAAAGACATAAAAATTCAAACGTGAACAATAATTTTGGGATGAAGGGAGTACAATTTTTTGGACTTAAATATTATGAAAAACGTTTATTTTATAAGAAAAAAAATATTTTCTTAATAGATATTCTTTATTAGAAAAAGAAAAATAGTATAATATTAATATATGATAATATAGAAAAAATAAATACTAACATAATAATATAATATTAAAAAAAATTATTTAAAAAAAAATCGTATATTTTATATTTATTTGCAAAAAAGTCATAATATGATGTTGGTGATCGATTTATAGGATAAAATGATCAAAATTTATATAATTATTAGCTTTGAGACTTAATTAATTCAAAAAAATAATGACTTAATCAATAACAGGTCAAAACATAAAAACTTTTTAGTAAAATATTTCCCTTAATAATATGTTTGGACTACTAAGGGGGTGTTTAGATAGGAAAAAAAGAGCTACTTATTGCTTATTTCCACAATAAGCTAATTTGAGTGTTTGGATAAAATCCAGCTTGCTAACCTAAATAAGCTAATTTTAATAAGCATCGTTCCCCATGCTTATTGCTTATTCCCACCACAAATAAACTATAAGCAATAAACTAAAAAACTAATCCAAACACCCCCTAAGCTTTGGAATTAAAAGATCTTGAAAAAACCTACTAGAAAAGTATTTAAGGAATCTCTTTAGTTCATAAGAAAAGACAAAATGAGAATATAGTCAAAACCTTAATTTCCCCCTCCCTTCCTCGCTATTGGTGTTGTAACATTTCCCCTCCCTCCCTTCCGGACTTTAATCCAAGAAAAAGAAAACAAAGATCAATTTGACATTAAATATTAGACTTGGCTAACTAATTAAGCACAAACTATGCAAAATTGAACATTTAGCGTACTAAGTTAGTTAGGCTTAACAAAAGTAGTACTAAAATGCAAATCAAACTTAGAAAACTGCAATTTGACCCAAAACCAGTTTTAGATACATCCAAAGTGGACAAAGTCTTTCGAATATTTCAAAACAGAATCATAGAAAGTTGAACAATATAAAGCATACACGCATACCATATAGGAAAAATCATACAGTTTACTTCTAGACTACCCAATGCATCACAATAAGGCAAACCATCATCTGCATTATTTCCTATACCAACAGTAAGGCAGCAACACAATCAAAATTTAATTTTCTAATTGTTTCATGAATTGCAAAAAAAAAAGCGTCAAATGTTGTTTCAATAAGCAAAGAAATTTCAAATTCGCGATGCCAAAACTTGATTGCAATTGTAATTAATACCCTTTTTTCAACTGCAAGTGCATGATGTCAATCAAGTAATAACATGGTAAACAGAAAATATCGACCTAATGAGCCATAAATATTATAATAGGAATTAACAACCACTGACTAGATAATGATAACAATTCAAATTTGGATTGTTATATAAATCTTAACACAAGCACAACATAAGTAAAAGGCAATAATGGGAATAAAAGATCCCTAGCTAATTGATCTAAGAAATCAGGGAACATGATTGGGAACACGCAGTTGTTGAAAACAACAAACCTTAATATCCTTACTGTCTTCTATCAAGGCGCAACAAGAATTCTTACTAGATATGTTATATCTTTTGATAACCACACACAACTATAAAACTCATTAAGGGTACCAGCTGTAACGTTTTCCAAAGTTATCAACATGGCATTTTTTAGTAACCAAAAGGACCGATTGTGAAATTTTGTAGACAATAGTTTATTTATAGCTTGAAAGTGAATCTTCTTTTCAAATCAGCCTAATCTTCCTATCATGAGAGAGATAAGTACCCTAAATATATATTAGGAGGTTGATTTTTGATAGGAATATATTTAGTATTTACTTAGTTATTTATTCATGTGTTGCAAAAAGAAGGTTCGTTGGAATTGGAAGTTGGAACGAAATCAGGCGTTCCTATCGTGTTACGATCGAGTCCAATTGTTGAACTTTTCAAACCTTAACCTACTACTCTCCTATGATCGCCACATAACAAAAACATCCATCGTTGTTCTAGATCAAAATCGAATACCACCCACAAATCATCAATCAAAGCAATGCAATGGAAACAAGATCTGCCAAGAGACGGAAGCTTCGTAGTCATGATCATTCATGGGGAAACAACACCGGCGAAGATCGCATCACTGATCTACCCGATGCCATTCTTCATCACATTTTCCGCCTTCTTCCCATCAAATCCATCGTACAAACAAGCATCTTATCGAAACGCTGGAGGACTCTCTGGTACACATTCCCTGATCTTGATTTCACCACCATCATCCCATCTGGAACTGCTTTAACAAAGTTCGTTTACTGGAATAACCTTGGCAACGTTATCACCCAGGTTTTATCTCTTCGCGATAAGCTATCTGATGTGAGAATCCTTCGTTTCTACGCCTGTATGAGTTTTTCTGGGTTGCACGCACTCATCCGTAGTGCCATTAGGCTTCATGTTCAAGAACTTGACATCAGGGTTGCAACCAATGATACATTTAACTTTCCTAGAAGCATAATTACCAGTGATTGTTTGAGGGTTCTGAAGGTTAAATCTTATCCTGGTTTTAGGTTACCTCCATCAAGGATAATGACAGCAGGGTTTCAAAAACTTCGAACATTATCACTTTCCTTCGTTTACTTAGACAATCAATCGTCTTTACTTGACCTGTTCACCGATTGTGCATTTCCACAGCTCACGAAACTGCACTTAGATTCTTGTTTAAATTTAAAACACCTTCGAGTGGGTTGTCATTTACTAGAAGAACTAGTTCTAGAGAATTGTTCTTCATTACAAGGCTTGGAGATTGCGGCTCATAAATTAGAGACATTAAAGGTTTCAAGTTGTTTCGATGCTTTTAATATCAATAATACTTGGCTTCAAATTGATTCCCAGAGATTGAACACCATTGTATGGGTGAATAATCCGATTACTAGCAAGAGTTATATACAGAATATAGTTTGCTTGCATGAGGTTACTATAGGGTTTCTTTTAAACCAAGAAAATCTTGATGTTGATAAGCTTCAAAACGTATCTACTTTTCTTTCTGGACTGTCTCATACCGAGTCTTTAACGCTGGAAAGCCGGTTTGTAGAGGTACTATACCACAACTTTTTTACTGTCCGTTTTTTACGTACTAAGTCCTGTTTTAGGATCTTACATGTTTATTATTTTATGTAATTGCTAGTTGTATGATACAAACAATACATATCTACAACTCCTCTTTTTGTTCCAAAGAATTGATGGGCCGGGTATCTTGGAAACAGATTATGTTGAAGAACAAGCCTCTTGCGACAATCTTTTTCCATCCATTCATGAAGCTCAAATCACTGGAACTGCGGACCAGAGATGTTCTGGGGTTTGGCAAGTTTACTCAAGATATGCCCTATGATCCACACACTAATTATTAAGATTAGTCATGAGGGTTACAAGGCTGAAAGACGAGTAAGTATTGCGAACTTGGCTCTATATATGAGTTCTATTAAATTTCTCTATATTCTATTTATCATTTACCCTTGAAGATATTTGGTTTCTTCATTATTATTGCAGTGGAACAGACACTCGTGGAATTTATCTAAGTACTCTCGGGAAGAGAAGTTCTGGGAGTCTCATACCAAAGATCTGAAACCTCTTCTTTGTTATCTAAAGATCGTAAAGATTCAAGGCTTTTCTGAATCCGAAAATCACATTAGTCTGGTTAAGTTTTTGCTCAAGCATGCGAAGGTTTTGCAATATCTCATTCTCTGTCTTGAAGACGAAAACTCGAGAGGTTACTATCCACATGAAAATTTTAAATCGCATATCATGGGATTCTCCAGAGCTTCTATCGATGCCAAGCTAGAATTTAGTTAACATAGTATTAAATCCCACCACATGGGTGTCCACATTTTATTAGGGTTTGTAGCATTCAGCAACAATGAGTCGATGAACATGCATACGCTCTTGGAAATTATGTCATGACCAGTTGAAATTGGACTTGAATGAATAATTATTGTAAAGGTTTGAGTCCTACTCATAAGAGGGGCGTGCTATTCGTATTTCTTGAAGTTTTTTTTATTATTTCTTTAAATAGAAGATCATTGCTGCTATCTGTGCAATTTTAAGATTGAAAATTAAGGTTGAGGCTAATCAAGTATTCTCACTAGAATAATAAATGCCATTTGAATGTTTTCCTTTTCTTACATTTTACCGAAAATATTAAGTAAATTAACCCTTATAATGAGTAATTTATTAATATAAACAACTTTTTTTAAATTTGGAAAAATGACAACTCTCTTCAGAATAGGTCATTCCAGAGAAGTACTATTTATTCCGGAGTATTCGGTGGTAGATAGTTTGGAATCCCAAGTCTGAGAACGAACATTCTGGATGGACATAATCAATTCCGGAGTACCGTAGTCAAAACCGTACATATAAAACTAACATTCAAAATATTTCGGACACACCTTGCAGACACAAAAAAACTAGGTTTCATTCCCTAAATAAAGTGTGGTATTATAACCGTCTAAAGATGAGTTTCTCAAACAACCACCACCAAGAAAGCTTTACAAACTTGTTTGTTTATCTGTACAACCTTGGGCGGATGAACCCTTGTAGTTACACGATTTGATTTTATGAATCGTTTCAACTCTGTTTTGTGGCTATTGGAGTTTGATAAAATATTTTTTTCCATATTTAATTGTTTGTTTAAAAATTTTAATGTTTTTACAACTAATTGTTTTGTTCTCCCAAAAAAACTGTAGTTTCATCCATTCATAGGTTGTTTGTCGCCTGTAATCTTTATATATAGTGTCTTATGGGTAGTGTCCATCTAGGAAATGAATATGTAATATTAATATTCATAGCAGTTGCTATGGATGGAAACAACCAAACCATGCATATAGCATTCTGTCTTTGCATGGAAAATAATGTTGACTTTGTTCATGGTTCCTTGTGAGGATGAAGGAAGCTCTATGAGAGGCTACGGAAGTATCATTCATAACTAATATGGGCAGTGTCACAAGTTCTTCCCTGGGTTATGTATTCCTTGATTCTTATCATGGATATTGTTGTAACAGTGTGGCGTTGCATATGCATACACGAGTTGGTCGAAACATAAAAATTTGAACCTTTGTTTAGGCGTACATGAATATCATATAAAATGTTTGATTTTGAAGTGACATTATGTCGGCTACCATGACGGTATGAGAGGTGTTTTCCAACGTTGGTTACACAAAATGGGCAAAACCCTATTTTCCTAACATCCGTTCGAATATACTAAGAATTAATATACTAGAATTCCTATGGGTATCATCGGTTAAGCAATGAAAAGATAATAACACTCATTGAGATAATCCGTTAGTACATTCAATGGATTTTTATTCAACACAATGCCATGGGAGGTAAAATACTACATAAATATTGAATTATTATTTAGTTTTAAACTTACCAAAATTGTAATGTCTATTTTTCAGGGAGGTTGATTGGCACACTCATTCATATGCGGAGATGGTGCTTTAGAGGAGGAGGCACAAGTTTGTTAGGTGACGAGCAACAAAGATCCCATACGATAGTTTTCAAGTTTTTGGCTTTATCCGAACTTGCGTTGTATATCCGAACTGCAATACATTTTCATGTACGAAATGGTGCAAACTCGGTATAGTGTGCGGTCATGCTATTACGACATCATGTTATTAAACCATCAAAAATATTTACAATATGGGTCAAATATATTACCATTTTGATGTGTATCAATGTATACACTAAACAAAAAATGTGCATCTTGTTCCCTCTCCATATGACCTGGAAATGGAAATGGAAATAACAGACCAATGGTGGTCGTTTTAATCTCTATGTAATTGCATATTTGTTTTTAATCGTAATTAATTGTATTTGGATATCAATTTTCAATGACAAAAGGAAATTATTATTTGCCCTATTATTTTTTGCATATTACAAAGAAAAAAAAAATATAATTTAAAAGTACCATACCATTATTTAACTTACATAGAATTTTACAAATAACAAAATACATAATTTTAAAAAGGACATCTTTAAAAATATTCCAAGAATGTTCGAATGAAAAATCAACCCCATTATTTTTTTTTTATGTATTGTAGCCTAGTCACTTGTAAAATTACTTCTTTATCTTCATTTAATAGTTCGTTATCACTCTTGTGATAAATTTATCTTATATTTTTAAACTTGCTCTTGACTTCTTCTTCTATTCAATGCTCTCTAGGAGATAACTCATAGTGAAATATATTTTTCAAGCGGGCCCAAAGTGAACCATACATTAAATGTGGGAGATCGATGACAACAATCTCATCCTCAATGATTATCCAAGACAAAACGAGCATGATTTCTTCTACTAAAGTCTATGGAAACTGTTGATTTTTTGCTATTCAGGAGTTGCATAAGTAAATTAAATACTATTGTGCGTCAAGAACATTGAATGCCAAACAATCCAACACAAATTCCAGACTATCATTATAAGTTGTAATTCAATTGTAGAACACATTGCACACACTCCAAGACATAGATTCCTGACATAAAATTCTGAACACGTATTTTTTAGCAAAATCATCACACTATTAATATACATCTTCCATCCACTAGATAAGAGATTGCGAACGAAGTATATTATAAGAGTAAATACTTGAGAATGAGTTTATTTGAATTTGGTGTTTGGCATTGTGAACATGAATATTGTTATGTTTGTTTGGATATTAATTAACGTATTTCCTGAAGGCTCATATTTCTGTAACGCCCACAAATTTTGGCTAGACAATTAAAATATAACAAGGGATAAGAATGACTTTTTGACTGAGGAGTTTTTAGGATAGATAATCATAACTAAAGTTAACTATATGTAACAATTATTATGTATATATAAAAACACTGAAATTTGACTTCGTATGAAGAAGTTATACATGTTTGATGTTTCAAGATTTAACATGCATGGTTGTACGTATTGTAAAAAGTGAGTTATTGATAAATTGCCTAAGAGATCTAAATGAAAGTCACAGTATTCATTAAACAGAGAGTGTACATATAAAGAACGTCCAAATCCGACTTTGTGAGAGGATGTTATGATTTTTCGACGTTTCAATGCAACAATACGAGCACATAAATAGAAATTCAAGTCAGTTCATTGTTAGTCAAAAAAATTTAAAAGAGAATTAAAGATATCGTAAATACTAAATCGTGGATATAAATAAGTCGATAACGGAGTTCGTATGAAGAAGATATGAATTTCGCACAGATTTTAAAATCTAAACCGGTCTAAATATGAATTTTTTTATACAAACAATTAGATGTTGAGATCTTAATGAAAGTTGTAGAGCTCGTCACGAGGATGTCGGGTATATAAATAACATCGAAAACAGAGCTCGTACGCGAAGGTTATGGCCATCTGAAGATCTGCAAGAAAATGCCTACGTTGATGATGTAGCAGCACCGAAGTGCACCACGTGGCAAACCGGCCTCTCACTCCTCCAAGAGAGAAGCAACGTGGCCCATGGCAATGGTGACACATGGCACCATGAAATGGTGATACATTCTAAAAGGAAAGGGCGTAGCCAAACCAACAAGTGTGTAACACTTGAATTGTAACAGCCCGAAATTTCCAGGTATTTATTTTGGGTTTATTTATAGAAATTGTGAGGGGACTCGGCGAGTTGGAGCTCAAACTCGCCGAGTACGATCGCGTTATTGGGCACGGGCTCACTTCCGGACTCGACGAGTCCAAGAGTGGATTCGGCGAGTCCACGTGTGGTGAAATCCTAATTTCCGGGGTGTGAGACCTATTTAAAGGGCCTTATGGCTGTCATTTGTGCTCACCCAACCCTTAGAGAGAAACCCTTGAGTGCTTGAATGTTTTGAGAGAGAAAAGAGGCATTTCTTGACCTTGTGTGTGTCATTTAGCAAAGAAGGAGGAGATTCTAGGAAAGAGGAAGCAAAGGAGGTTGCTATTCTGTGGATTTGAAGCTTAGATCATCGATCTAGAGGTATGATTTCGGTTTATCTTCTGTTTTGTGAAGTGTAATGGGATTTAGGGTTTCTTATGGACATTATTGGGTTGATTTGATGCCAAATAGTTCCCTTCTTGTGTTGAGGCTCTGGATCTGGATCCATAAAGGTCCAGAGAGCCTCACTCATCAAGCTTTATGTATAGCAATGGAGTTTATGACCTTGAGTTGTAGTATGTGAGACAAAAACATCATATATGGTCATATAGAGATTGTATGTGCATCAAGATAGCGACTTTACGTGGTAAATAAGCTTGGAAGGACTGGATCTATGGGTTAATGGACTGGACCTGACCTTATGAGCAAGTTTGAGTCATTGCATGGCACAGACTCGGCGAGTAGTATGAATATTGCCCGACCACACGGTGAGTGGTCTTGCCGAGTTGGGGAGGGTTGACTCA